GATGATGCATACTGCTAAGAGAACGGATTCCGTAGGCTGGGACCAAATAGAAGGCCTGGATTCAATTACCTAGCGGACCTAAAGGCCAGGCACAGTGGAATGCACCTGTAATCCCAGAGACTTGGGGAGATTGAGACAGGAGAATCCCATGCTTAAGGCTGGCCTAGGCAACATACAAGACCCTGTCTTTTAAAAATAAATAAATAAAAGAACCAGGTGAGATGACACACACCTGCAGTCACAGCTGGGTGAAGGAGACAAAAGGATTGCAACATGGCAATACCTATCTTTAACAAAATTGTGGGCCAGCAAGTGTCATGGTGGTTAAAGCTGCTGGGTCTCCTATGGTTGAGCACGTGGTTCAAGTCCCAGACCTGGCAGCTCGAGAAGCACCAACTCTTATGCATGCGTGCCCAAATTCTCAAAAGAAGGGAGAGATGGAGGAGAAGGGATTGTGGTATGATCATTCCCCATGGAGGGGTTCTCTCTCTCTCTCTCTCTCCTTCATAAATATACATGTCCTCTGGCAAATTTTTTAAATTGTAACCACAGAAGACACAAACACAATTCCTGTTTTACCTCTATTTTTATTTCTTCTTTCCTTTGCTTACAACTGTCTACTATATACTTACTTCATGAGAACAGGGATTACTGAGGATTTGGCACAAAAAAGATGCTCTGGAAAAATGTGCGTAGTGAATTATGGGAAGCCATTTCGAGAGTTAAGTAGAGAGTGACACGATATAATTTCTGTTCTTAAAGGCAAGCTATTAGCTGCTATAGGAAGAATGGATTAGAGGGAGACCAGCCTAGAAGCAGAGACCAGTGCAGAGGCTCCTTCAAGTGGTCCAGGTGAGAAACTGTACCAATCTGAGCTAAGAGTTGTAGTCCTGTGGATAAAGAGACTGTTTTGGACTCAAGATATATTTTGGAAGTACAATCTAAGTAGCCCTTATTCAAAATATGTAGGGCTGGAAATACTTCCAATTTTGGATTATTTTGGATTTTTGTAACATTTGCATATATATGTAATGAGATATCTTGAGGATGTAACCCATGACTAAACATGAAATTCATTTGTTTCATATATACCTTACACACATAGACTGAAGATAATTTAATACAATCCTTTTGTATTACAATGTTTTGCCCACAGCTTCTCACATGAGGTCAAGTGTGGCATTTTTGTCACGTTGCTGCTCAAAAACTTTGAGGTTTTGGGACAGCTCTGTGGCACAGCAGAAATGTGCTGCTCACGCCAAACTCCACATAGCAACTGCAGTCCACATCCCTAGCCCCATCAACCTGAAACACATTGGGCATATGTGTGACTGCTCCAAATCCTATGCACTAGAAATCTGGAGGAGGGGAATCATGACATGTTCAGACCCCATGGAAGGTGCTCCTCCCTCCCACATATACACACATACGCTATCATAAATAAAGAAAACAAGAAAGCAAAAAGCGTCTCAGAATTTGGATTTCAGATGTTCAGATTAGGGATACTCAAACTGTAGTAGTAACCACTTACTCAGGTTACTACTGGTAAGTAAGAGGAAGAAGGAACAATGATTCCTTGGACTTGAGTTACTATGTGAACTGGAGTTCTACTAAGTGAGGGGAGGAGACGGGTGGCGTTTTGAACCCATTACATGTGCTATTTTTGTGATCTCCAAATGCGAATAGTAAGTTGAGCAAGGAAGTCTGGAGCTCAGAGGAGTGGTCTAGGCGGAAAATATGTACATGTTCTGAAAATTATGTAAGGTCCAGCCCCATAGCACAATGGTTAAGTGCTGTGGATGGAGAACTGGCTCCCATGTGGCCAACCACAGCTTCAATCTGGCCAGGTGACTTGAAAAACACACTGGGGGGGGGGGGACCAGCAGATGGTGTAATGGTTGCATCACTGGGCTCCTATGTAATGGACTGCAGTTCGAGTCCCAGACCTGGCAACTTAAAATTCACACCGGTTGCTTGTGCATGTGTGCTCAAGATCCTGAGAGGAGAATGGAAGAAAAGGGATTGTGTCGTGGCCCTCACCCCAGGGCGTGATTTCTCGCTTTCTGTCTTTTTCTGTCTCTCCAAGCGCACATGCTCTATAGCAAAAATTTCTCTCTTAAAAAAAAAGAAAGAAAAACACTAGGGATCAGCTGGTGGTGAGATGTTTAAGGCAGATGGATCCCACATGACCAACTGCATAGTTTGAGTCCCAGACCCAGCAGCTTGAAAACATGCCAGGTGCATGTGTATGCACGCCCAAAATCCTGAGAGGAGAATGGAGAAGAAGGGATTGCTGTGTGGCCATTCCCCCAGGCATGGATTTTTCACTTTCCTTCCCCACATTTCTACCCTCTGTGAATACAATTGCCCTATAGCAAAAATAAAGAAAAAGAAAAACACACCAGGCATATGTGCATGCATGTCCCAAATCCTGATAGTATAGATGAATGGAGGAAAAAGGATTGTGACGTGACTATACCCCATATGTTCTCTCTTTCTGTCTCTCTCCCTCACACACATGAGCCCTCTGGCAATAAATAATTTTTAAAAGAAACAAGAAAAAATATGTGAAAAGGAGATATTTTAAAGAAAAACAATGACCGGTGGTGGAGGTCGAAAATGTATACAGGAAAGAAACTGAGAAAATGACGTCCAGAGAGTCAAGACTTGGAAGCGTGGGGAGAAGCATGAGGAGAAGGAGGCAGTGGAAGATAGATGGTGCGAGGAACACGGCTAAGAGAGACAGAGGAGCACAAGTGAATGAGGCCTGTAAGTCTGTCATCTCCTGCTCAGGGGACTTGGGAAATGCCCGCCAGGAAAAAGGAATGAGAGAATGAAAGAGGAGCTGGTTAACTGGAACACTTGGGAAAGTGCAAGATACAAGTCAAAGGAGGAAAGATGAGAAAAACAGGATTAACTGTTGGGTGGCTGGGCAAGTCGTGACACATTTTCCATAGAAAAACAGAAAAATACCTCATGACTTTCCCCACAATCTAATATAATCACAACTAGACTTCAGTAACTGTGGCCAGGAGCGTGGCCACAAAGTCCAGGCACAATACAGTAGTCACCCTTATCTGAGGAGGACACACTCTGAGATACCCAGTATGTGCCTGAAACCGTGGTTGGTACCCAAACCTATATATGCTATGTTTGTGCTTATGCATACCTACCTATGCTAAAGTTTAGGCACAGTAAGAGATTAACAATAATCATTAATAACAAAATAGAATCACTGGGACCAGCAGGTGCCATAGTGGTTAAGGCACCGGACTCCCATATGGTTGACCATAGTTTGAGTCCCGAACCTGGCAGCTTGAAATTCATGCCAGGCACATGTGTGTGCCCAGAATCCTGAGAAGATGAGGAGAAGGGACTGTGGTATGACCATTCCTTCCGGGGGTGATTTCTCACTTTCTGTCTCTCTGTCTCTCTGTCTCTCAAGCAAGCACACATGCCCTTTAACAAAACCTCTCTCTCTCTCAAAAAAAAAAAAAAAAAGAAAGAAAGAACAATTATGATGGATGTACCAGCTTTACCTCTTTCATGCTGCCAGGTCCACAGGTCCAAGACTCAAACCACACAGTCAGCCATGGGGAATCTAGCTGCTTTAACCACAAAGACATGGAGCCAACCCAGCATCCCCTATATTGAAAAAGTATGAGTATATAAACACCAAATTCAGCCTGGTTATTATCTTGGAATGAAGGATGTTGGAAGAAGAGAAATAGATGTATATAGAGAGAATTGGGAGGTAAGGGTACACAGGGAACCTCGACTGAATCTATAATACTCCATTGCTTTCAGAGCATTATAAACATTTGAAGCAAATGTAAAGTTAAGACTTTGGGAAATAGAAGTATATAGGTGTGTGTTATATTCTTCTCATGCCAAGAAAAGTGCTGTCACCTGGTAGGTGAGATCGTTGAGCAGTACCATGATAATGTAAGGTGACATGAATGATACATTGGGAGCTAATTCTTCCACCTCATGGGAAACCCAACAGACTCCTAATATTGCCTGCTCTTCCCTGAAAACTTCAGCAGTTATGCCATTGTGTTGGGGCATGCCTTTGTAATTTTGTTCGATCTTTTGGAAAGCAATTTAGTAATCATTAACAAGAGTCATAAAAAAACGTTCATATCCTTTGACCCAATAACCAGTCTTCCAGAAAATTATCTCGGATGACTTGCTTCAAAAGAAAAGTCCATATGCATCCATCTCCTTATGGCCATTCTCTCTAGGGCAGCTAAACATAAACATCTAATAGTGAGGGAACTTTAACCAACTCATGATACACATACATGTTAACTGGAATATTCCTAACTAGTCCTAAGATGACCATTGTTATCACTATATGGAAACACAGGAAATTTTTAAAATCAAGTACTAAGTGGCAAATTCTGAATTCAAAGTGTTTGTTTGTGTTTGCTTTACATGAACATGGACCAAAGCCAGCCATAGAAAAACCATTCGTTCATGTTTGGAAGACTGGTTTGAAATTGGTTTTCTTTTTCTTTAGGACCATTTTTTGCTTTTTAAAATAAAAATCAGAAAATATTTCAGGTAAGGCCATATTGAGAAAGGGTTTATTAAAACATAAAGGCCAGGCCCCCTGATGGCAAAGCAATAACTCGATGCTGGACCCACATGGAAATGTCCTGTGTTTGTGTCCCAAAACCTCTCTGTACTCTCCTTAGGCATCTGTGTATGCTCATGATCTTGACTGGCTGAGGCTGAGGGTGGATCACAGCTTGAAGACCCTGTTGGGGGTGCCTTTCTCGCTCTCTTTCTCTTTCTGTCTCCCTCACACACACACACACACACACACACACACACACACACACACTTCTTAGAAGAAATAAATAAACATAAGAAAAGAAAGGTTGGACTAGACAGTGACATGATGAAGGCAACTGGATCCTACATGGCTAAATGAGTGTTTCAAGTCCTGGACCCAGTGGTTTGAAAAACAAACAAGCAGGACCAGCAAACGATATAGTGGTTATATCTCTGGATTCCCACATAGTTGACTGCAGTTTGAGTCCCGGACCCAGTGGCCTAACTCACACCGGGCACATGTGCACATATGCCCAAAATCCCAAGGGGAGGATGTGGCCATCCCCCCAGAGGGTGATGTCTCACTTTCTGTCTGTCTGCCTCTGTCTCTCCAGCAAGTGCATGTGCCCTATAGCAAAAATCTCTCTCTCTAAAAAAAAAAAAAAAAAAAAAAAAAAAAAAAAAAAAAAAAAAAAAAAAAAAAAAAAAAGAAAGCAAGAAAGAAGAAAGAAAGAAAGAAATACAGAGAGACACCAGGTGTGTGTGCATGCATGACCAAAATCCTGAAATGAGGGGAAAATTAAATAGAAGGGGCTGCAGTGTGACCATTCCCCATGAGGGATACTTTCCTCACTTTCCCTCTGTTTTTCTCCACAGAATGGACATACCCTCTAGCAAATTAGAATAGAGAGAGGAGAAAACAAAGGACACATAATAATTGCAGAAAATGGATTGCAGAGTTTTAAAAAAATACAAGTATTTAAGCTTCATGCTGGAGATTCTAATTCTGAGGGGGGGGTTTCTCAGGTGGAGGGAAAAAACTAGATTTTTTCAGAGCTACACAAGTAATTTCTTTACCCACCCCCCAAAGTAAATTTGATGAACACCAGAATGAGACTTACTGAGATAGATAATTATTGTTATACTTTCAAATAATCTGTTAAAAATACTGATCAGAAATAGCAATACAAGGGGACCAGCAGATAGTGGAATAGGTACGTCACTAAACTCCCACGTCATCAAGCACGGTTCGAGTCCCAGACTTGGTGCCTTAAACTCACTCCAGATGAGTG